GGCAATGATAATAATAAATTCCAGAAGAAAAGCTTCTTAAAGCTTCGTTTATTTGCTCAAACAAGCGGAAAGTGCAACTGAAACTGATTACAAACAAAGTGCTGCAGCATTTAGCAGAACAAGATCAAACCCAGAACGAGGAACGACTCATGATTTTTGTCCATGTCATGCCACTTTTGTGCTAAAGTATCAATAGTGCTCAAGCCATCATCAAGTCAACAGATGCAAGTCAATTCAAGTCGTAAGTCATTGGCGTTCAAGTCTGAGTCAAGTCGTAAGTCTTAAAAGATTTTATCAAGTCAAAAGTCATTAAAATAATGATTTGAGTCGGACTCGAGTCCAAGTCTTGTGACTTGAGTCCACACCTCTGATTATTTGATTATAAATCAGTCACTCTTGAGTTTTTAATGAAAGCTGAACATGAAAATAGTCTCCTACACCTATCTTCTGCATTAGCGTTTGATAGAAAATAGACAGTGAAACTCTAGGATTTGAAAAGCCTGACAGATCTACGTCACACTGAAACTTAACATTCATGGACTCACCCATCTTTGCTCACAATGGAGAAGGCTGTTGTTGACTTAGCATCCAGGAAACAGCAGCGACTGTCTTGGCAAGTAGAAGCTAACCATTAGCATTAGCACCTCCACTGCAAAGTAGAACAACTTCAGGCTTATGTTATTTGTGGAGATAAAACATCAACATTATAAGTCAGTGGTAGAGTTGTGTTACTCTTATCCAATCTGAGGTGAGATGTCCAAATATCAGGAAATAAGACTCCAAATCCTGCCGTGTTCAGCTCTCCTCTGGTGTGGCATTCTGCTAGTTCCTGAAACAGGCACATCTAAACTTTTTCCTCCCAACTACGACTTGCGAGGTATTCATTCCTACTAGAGGCCACTGCAAATGCATTTGATTTAATAAGTGTTCTGCAACTTGCCACTAAATGGTGCAATGGTTTATTTCAGCTACGCAGAACGTTTTAATCCCAAACTGTCTCCTTGTTAAATTACTCCTGAACTTTAGTCCATAGTAGACATTTTTATTTTGTAGCAACCTAAATGTCCAGCTGAATTTATTGCTGAGTTGAAGCAATGATAAAGTGACAAAAAACATCTCTTATCTTTAGATGCATATTTGAGTGGTTTCCTGCCACCAGATAAACCTACTCCCCACTAACACATAACCACATGCAGAGACCATTAATAATGAGTGCTGACTGGCTGCTCGCTGCACTGATACCCTGAGCAGTGGTGACATGGGAGGAACTCAGAAAGATAAAAGGCTGTTTATGTGGCACTCTTGCATAGAACATTATGTCAGTATGAGTCAGCAAGTCACACACTAAAAACTTCAAAACAAAACCTTTTTTGGTATTAAAGATGCTAAGCAGACCATTAGCTAGAACACGGCAGGGTGAAACCTGTGGTATTTAGAAGGAGCCGCACTCATGAGGAGATGAAAACACTCTTTGGATCAAATAAACCTCACCAGTATCAAATCAAATTCAAATCAAATCACTTTTTATTTATAGAGCACTTTTCATGATAAAATCAGCACAAAGTTCTTTACATTAAAAAAACATTTTATTTAAATGAGCTAAAAATGGTCATTTAATCAATGAAAAGCCAAGGTGAAAAGGTAGGTCTTGAGCCTCTTTTTAAAAACTAAATACTAAAAATAAATACTTTCAGCAGCCCTGAGGGTCTCCGGTGAACCATTCCACAGACGAGGGCCATAGTGGGAAAATGCTTCACCGTAAGTTTTGGTTCAAACTTTTGGTGGGACTAAAAGGCCAATATCGGAGGATCTCAGGGACCATGGGGGATCATAATTTAAGAGTAAGTCAGGTAAATAGGATGGTCCGAGACCATGGAGACATTTATAAATCAATAAAAGAACCTTAAAACCGATCCTAAAATGTACAGGAAGCCAGTGCAGTGATTTTAAAACTGGTGTAATATTCCTGCCCTCTGGTCCTGGTCAGCACACGTGCTGCTGTATTCTGGAGTAATTGTTATCTTTAAATACTCTTTTTGGGAAGACCAGAGAGCAGGGCATTACAATAATCGACTCTACTTGAAATATAAGCATGTATTCATACCTCCTTACTGGCGAGAGAGAGAAATGGGCAGACTCTGGCTATATTTTTGATGTGATAAAATGCTCTTTTGGTTATATTTTTTAAATGTGGAGTAAAATGACCTTCAGACACCCAGATTTCTCACACAGTGAGAAGGTTTGAAGTTGTGTAGTTCTGCTAAAATGACCTCTCGCTTGTCTGCATACCAATGATTAAGACTTCTGTTTTGTCCGGTTTAAGCTGTAAAAAGTTTTCTGCCATCCATGACTTTATATTTAAAATACAGTTCAAAAGTAAATTCACTGATTTGATGCCATCAGGGGACACTGCACTGTAAAGCTGTGTGTCATCAGCATAGCTGTGAAAATCAATGTCATGTCTCCTGGTGATGTCTCCAAGTGGCTGCATGTACAGATTAAAAAGTGTTGGGCCTAAAATTGATCCTTGGGGAACCCCACACTTAATTTAATTGGTTTCTGAGGAATAAGTATCCATACTTATGAAAAAACTTTGATCAGTGAGATAGGAGTAAACAATCTAAAACAGTACCTGAGAGACCCGGACTTCTAAGTCTGTGCAATAAAATGTGGTGGTCTATTGTGTCAAAAGCTGCACTTTGATCAAGAAGCACCAGAACTGAAAGTTTCCGTGAATCTAAGTTGCACCTGAGGTCATTAACAATCTTTAAAAGAGCCGTCTCAGTACTGTGTTGTGTCCTAAAACCAGATTGATATTTTTCTAACATTGTGTTTATATAAAAACTCATGAAGCTGCATTAAAACTACTTTTTCTATAATTTTACTTAAAAATGGCAAGTTGGATACTGGTCTGTAGTTTTCAAGAGTATTAGGATCTAAATTGGTCTTCTTCAGAAGGGGCTTCACCACCGCAGTTTTGAAGGCAGTTGGGATAATGCCTGCCTGAAGAGAACAGTTCACACAGTATCACACTTATGAACAAGCTGGTTAAATTCAATTAATTTCCATTCAGTTCAGTTTATTTATATAGCTCCAAATCTTTCATCTCAAGCCACTTCACAAAGTTAAGACCCTAATGAGGAATCATCATCAACAACTTTTCTTCTATAGCACCTTCCGTCGACCAGGAGATGAACCAAAGGGCTGAGCATGTATAAGAGAAGTAATTAAAACAAAGGTCAACTGAGGTACACACAAAAACAAATAAAAACAAGACATTTAGGTAAAAAACATAACAAAAGACAGCTCAATTATCTAAAAGTATGGCAAAAATGTGTGCTGAGGGAATGCCACAGTTCAAAGTGAGTATTCATTTGACTCTTAAAAACCAGCAGTGAAGGTGCTCATCTGACCTCAAGTGGAAGGTCATTCCACAGCTTGGGTCAAGAGCAAGCTGGAGCTGGGCTAGCACAGCCTTGCTAACTCCTGAGTAAAGAGAGTTGCAATTGTCTAGGCGTGAAGTAATGAAAGCATGGACTACTGTCTCCAAGCGTGCATGCGGCACTAGCAGCAAGATCTTGGATAGACAGAAAAGATGGAAAAAGCAAGAGTGCACCACCCCAGCCTTAAGTGCTGCATCCAGCTTCACACCCAAATCAGTGACCAGATCTTTCAAGGGGGCCAGCGAAGAGAGGTCAAGTTCCTGCTTTGATGCATGATTAACACTTGGCTAAAAACAATGACCTCTGTTTTTCCTTGTTGAAGCTTTAAAAGCTGGAAGCCATCCAGGCTCTAACCTCCTCAAGGCAATCCAGGAGCAGCTTGATTGAGTCTACAGTATCCCATCTCAAGGGAAAATAGATCTGGAAATCGTCAGCATACAGACTGACCTTTTGCCTCTGAAAAAGTGAACCAAGTGTCAGCAAATAGAAGGAAACAACAATGGACCCAGAACGGACCCCTGTGATACCCCCCAAGAGAGGCTGGCAAGGAAGGAAGGGAAGTCAGCTAGCTTCATGCAGAAGCTTCTCCCTGAGAGACAGGACCTAACCCACTCCAGGGCACGTCCAGTGCTCCCCACCCCCTGCTCAAGCCAGGATAATAACCTTTGGTGGTCTACAGTGTCAAAAGCTGCTTAGCAGAATCAGCGTCGTTTATCTAAAAACACTTCATTTAAAACATTTAAAAGAGCAGAATCAGTACTGTACCCAACTTTAGAACCAGACTGGAACACACGGATGAAAAGTTAAGATGAGTGAGTGAGTGAGTTAGAAAGTGTCTCAACTACTTTTGCTACATTCACACCTAACATCACAAGCATTTTAAGTCTTTTACATGTTTGTTTTTCCTCAGGATCCTTGCAAGACTGCACATTTATCCTTTAATACAGAGGTATTCAATTCCAGGACTGGAGGGCTTGTTTTAGTGGTTTCTCTTCTCCAACACACTTGGTGGTTGAATCACCTGTGCAGCAGCTCACCAGGGTTACAAGTAAAACCTGCTGGATACTGACCTTCCAGGCCCAGAATAGAATATCCCTGCTTTAATATGTTGGCTGTGTTTCACAGAGATTTGAATCTGCCACCAACACAGTGGACTAAAACTGGCGTTCCCTTTCTGTGGTTGCATGAATAACCCTGCCTTTCTGATGTCTACATTAGAATAGATGCCAAGGTCAAAATGTAACATTAAATCTAAATAAAGTCAAGCAAAAGGCTCTACAGTTAAGTCTAACAAGCAGATAATAATAGATGATGTGTTGTATCACGCCTACATCGCACCTCTGACCCTTATTTTCTGCTCACACTGACAACAAAATGTTAGCTGCATTGGTGTAATTGTGTCTTTTCAACTTTAAAGAGAATCCCGATACTCAAGTTTCTTCTTTTCTGTCTTTTTGCTCGGCTCTTCCGCCCGCCCACCACTTCCTCCTTCCCTTCTTCGTGGTCCTTCCTCTGTTTTCCATTATCCCTCCTCCGCTTTGAATTCGCTACCCACAGGAACTTCCGGAAGCATCTTCGGATGGTGGGCAGCAGAAGGATTAAAGCACAGGGTGAGTCAGATCTGTGTTTGGTTGATATGTTTGTTCAAACACACTGTGGTGTTATTCACTTCACCATCATCACTTTATATTTGTTCACTTTGTGTGTGTGTATGTGTGTGTGTGTGTGTGTGTGTGTGTGTGTGTGTGTGTGTGTGTGTGTGTGTGTGTGTGTGTGTGTGTGTGTGTGTGTGTGTGTGTGTGTGTGTGTGTGTGTGTGTGTGTGTGTGTGTGTGTGGTGCAGTCGTGCATGTGTGTGGCACCCACCGCTGCCACTGACTGATTATGGCCTTTTGGATCAGACAAAACTTTGTGCACGTTTGTATGAGTGAGCATGTAAAATGTGCCGTGAGGAGACTTTTTCCGTTGTATTTGTGCGTGTTTACTTTTATTTTGGTGGTTAGAAGCTTTGTTGTAAACTCAAAATAGAATTACATAAAATGCAATTAAAACTGCACAAAATATAATTATTTGCATTTTTGGAAGGAATTTTTTGCTCCAACTAAAAAAAAACTATTTCTTAACAATGAGGAAGGCAAACTTTATAAATGAAGACTCAGAAAAAGACAACTAGCTATTGATTTTAATATGTATCACAATTAGCTAAATGATCATGCCTTTACATTGTACTTCCTCAGAGTAAAATTAGTATTCTGTAGAAATCTGTTAAATCTCCAAATTAGGATTTTATCAGCAAAAGTCATTTATAGACCCTTCCATTTCCTCACGTCCGTGCAGTTTTGAGTGAAATGACATTTTCTTTATCTGATTGTGTGGCATATAAATGTCAAAATTATAATAAGAAATTAGAACTGGATCTAGGCAGCCTGAGGAAATTATGACACAAATGAGATTGAAATATAAAAGACCATTAAACCAAAACCATCAAAACCACCAAAGTAGCAAAAATAAATCCCAGTAACAGTGATGTGACTACTGCACAGAACCATATCAGTGTTTAAGTTTCTATACCAATAATATTTTACATAAAGGTTAGTGGAAAGATGAGGTTTTAAAACAGCCAATAAAATACCAGGGCTAATGACGTCCATGATCAGAACGGTATGAATTTTAATATCATGTGAGGAAAAAAATAGTTATACAGCTTTTCTTTTGTCTAAGGTAAAATCAGAAATATATATATATATATATATATATATATATATATATATATATATATATATATACATATATATATATATATACACATATACATACATATATACATACTGTATAAGAATGATAATTATTATATGTAAGCATTTTATTTTTATATTATTCTAAAAATATTTTAAATGTTTAATTTTTAATGAATAATTACCAGATTTACCTTATTGATACTATTTTAACCTCTTCTTCCTCTCTCTTTCTCTTCTACTTCTTCATTCTCCTCTCCCTCTTCTTGTTCTACTTCTTCCGTTTTCTCTTTTTTCTCTTCTCCATTTTCATCTTCGTTCTTTGCCTCTTTTCCTTCTTCCTTTTCCTCATCTTCTTCATATTAAATTACTTGATTTCTTCTTTTTCTACTTCTTTCCTCTGCAACTTTTTCTTCCTCTTCCCTTTTACTTAGTCTTCTTGTCCTCTTTTGTTTGCTGTGTACCCCCAACATGTTTGCTTAAAATGACAGTAATAAATGGTTTTAAACTCTTGTCAAATAAATATTTAAAGGCTTTTAATGCAGAGTTAATTTTATAAGTGAGATGTTATCTATGCTGATGGTTTTGCCAACAGAAGCCAGAAATTAGCTGTCTGTGTTTTATCTCATTTGTTGGTTTGTAGATGTAGATGGTATTTGTGGAGATTATGGGGCTTGTTCTTTATACAGTGGTGTGAAAAACTCTTTGCCCCCTTTGATTTCTTATTCTTTTGCATGCTTGTCACACAAAATGTTTCTGATCATCAAACACATTCAACCATTAGTCAAAGATAACACAAGTAAACACATAATGCAGTTTTGAAATGGTTTTTATTATTTAGGGAGAGAACAAAATCCAAGCCTATATTGCCCTGTGTGAAAAAGTAATTGCCCCCTGAACCTAATAACTGGTTGGGCCTCCCTTAGCGGCAATAACTGCAATTAAGCGTTTGCGATAACTTGCTATGAGTCTTTTATAGCGCTCTGGAGGAATTATGGCCCACTCATCTTTGCAGAATTTTTGTAATTCTACTTTATTTGAGGGTTTTCTAGCATGAACCGCCTTTTTAAGGTCATGCCATAGCATCTCAATAGGATTCAGGTCAGGACTTTGACTAGGCCACTCCAAAGTCTTCATTTTGTTGTTTTTCAGCCATTCAGAGGTGGATTTGCTGGTGTGTTTTGGGTCATTGTCCTGCTGCAGCACCCAAGATTGCTTCCGCTTTAGTTGACGAACAGATGGCCGGACATTCTCCTTCAGGATGTTTTGGTAGACAGTAGAATTCATGGTTCCATTTATCACAGCAAACTTTCCAGTTCCTGAAGCAGCAAAACAACCCCAGACCATCACACTACCACCACCATATTTTACTGTTGGTATGATGTTGTTAGTCTGAAATGCTGTGTGACTTCTACGCCAGATGTAACGGGACCTTTGCCTTCTAAAAAGTTCAACTTTTGTCTCATCAGTCCTCAAGGCATTTCCCCAAAAGGCTTGGCAATCATTGGGATTTTTTTTTTAACAAAATTGAGACAAGCCCTAATGTTCTTTTTGCTTAACAGTGGTTTGCGCCTTGGAAATCTGCCATGCAGGCCATTTTTGCCCAGTCTCTTTCTTATGGTGGAGTCGTGAACACTGACCTTAATTGAGGCAAGTGAGGCCTGCAGTTCTTTAGAAGTTGTCCTGGGGTCTTTTGTGACCTCTCGGATGAGTTGTCTCTGCGCTCTTGGGGTAATTTTGGTCGGCCGCCCACTCCTGGGAAGGTTCACCACTGTTCCATGTTGTTGCCATTTGTGGATAATGGCTCTCACTGTGGTTCGCTGGAGTCCCCAAGCTTTAGAAATGGCTTTATAACCTTTACCAGACTGATAGATCTCACTTACTTTTGTTCCCTTTAGTTCTTGAATTTCTTTGGATCTTGACATGATGTCTAGCTTTTGAGGTGCTTTTGGTCTACTTCTCTGTGTCAGGCAGCTCATATTTAAGAGATTTCTTGATTGAAACAGGTGTGGCAGTAATCAGGCTTGGGGGTGGCTACAGAAATTGAACTTGGTGTGAAACACCACAGTTGGGTTATTTTTTAACAAGGGGAGCAATTACTTTTTCACACAGGACAATGTAGGTTTGGATTTTGTTCTTTCCCTAAATAATTAAAACCATCATTTCAAAACTGCATTTTGTGTTTACTTGTGTTATCTTTGACTAATGGTTAAATGTGTTTGATGATCAGAAACATTTTGTGTGAAAAACATGCAAAAGAATAAGAAATCAGGAAGGGGCAAATTGTTTTTTACACCACTGTGTATTTGTACACTTGCAGCTGCAGCAGTCTTGTGTATGTTTGTGAAAACGAGAGTGTAAAGGAAAACGCCAGTTTGCAGGCTTGTTAGTGTGTGTGAGCGTGTGTGTGTGACTATCTCTCCTCGCCTGCACTAGCGTTCGCTGAACGTAGATCGAAGAGTTTCAGCCGTTCCTGGAGCGATCCCACCCCTGTCAAGACTGACTCTCCTCATGAACCCAAAGACAGTGAGTTAACACAGACTCACACATGTGCACTTATAAAGACACACCCACACAGCTACTGTTGAAGTTTCTGGCAGCAAAACTCTTGGTGAAAAAATAACGCAAAAAAATAAAAATAAATAAATAAATAAATAATAACAAGATATGGTTAAATGTGCAGGAAAATTCTTGTTTTATTCCATTATCAAATTAGATCTGTTCAAGAGTCTTGCAAAACTCTGATCAATGTAATATTATGACTTTTTACAAAGTTTTGATAGTTCTATATTTTATGCAGAACATGTTCAGGAAGTTTTTGCATAAGGTTTCTCTCACATAAAAGCAATTTCAGTAGTTTTATTCTTGACATTTTCAGTACCTTCCAGAATGAGTTATTTCAGTGCTCTGCACCTTTAAGAGAACAAGCTGTTGCTGGCCACACCCACCCATCTCCTATTGGCTTGGCATTTCTCACAGAAAATCGGGAATTACGGATGCTTCTTTCGTTGCCAACCGCATTATAATTAAAGCACTGTGACACATCAAAATGATGTAAAACAAAAAATCACTTAGACTGTGTCCTTTATGCACCTTCATATGTGTTTAAACGCCAATTTAAAAGCACATACATTTCTGCTCCACACTGGTTACAGGACAAACAACTCCTGAGCCAGGTTAGCTCAATAACATACAAACCCGAACCAAGCCACTCTGCAGAAAACGAGGCAAAAGCAGTCTGTACTGAAGTGGTTTGCACACACCAACGTTTTCTTGCATATTGTTCCTGGGAGCTTCACATCATGTCCCGTTGCGTTGTGTCACGTCACATCTCCATTCATCAACATATTGTCCTTTGCTTAGCCCACAGAGTAGCAACCTAAGCAGAGAAGCCAAAACTTATCTATTCGCAGTCAGCCAGCTTCTCCAGGGGAATCGTAAGGTATTCCCAGGTGAGCAAAGCAACCTAATCCCTCTAAAGTATTGTCATTCCACGAGTCTCGGAAAACAAAAATGATGAATCCTCATCAATGCCAAAAGTGAGATTTACATAATATGTCCCCTTTAATAGGCACGGATTTTTATAACAGTGATAGTTTTTTTTGTTTCAATCACAAAGAAGCATTTCAAGCACTTTAAAGCAAACTTCTAAATGTCAAGGGAAAAAATTCATCATTATATTCTATACACTAAACCCGTAAAGTCTCTTTCCGGAGTATGTTGCTTATCCGATGGCACCACCTAGTGGCTGACAAGCATATCACATAAATATTCTCTCAATCCGTTTTTTAAGATGGCGATTTCACGTTTCTTGTTTATGAATGTGTTTCTGTAGCCGACAAACAGAGCTAAAACATGTTGTTTTACAAGTATCTCTAACTATAAGGTCTTTGATGTTATGTCTGACAGTAGCTGGAAGGAAAGACCTGCGACGTCTCTCTGTTCTACATCATGGGTGCAGCAACATGTCCAGCTGAGATGGTGGCTGCTTATTTCATGCTTTATGTCATGTTGTGTTCTCATATATTTATATTTTAAAAACTTTCTTGTCCGTGGAAAGTTCACAAACTTCTGGCCGGAGCTCAGTTTCCTATTGCACGGAGGTCTGCGGGGCAGGGGGCATGCTTAGCAAAAAAAGGACGTATTGCGTACATTATATCACAGTGCATGTTGAGACAATCACTTTTACGGATTTCTGAAAAAAAGGCAGTGGAAGAGGTGCATTGCTGTTAGCCAATCAGAGGTCAGATTTTTAAATATGAATAATAACGAGTAAGACTCCAAATCCTTCCGGTTTCTGCCTCTACTCTTCCGACTAAATTTTACCTCCTGAAACAGGAGTGCCAGAGCTTTCTTTTCCACAGAGAATGACTCACGAGGCATTCATTCAAACTAGAGACTACAGCAAATGCATCAAAATAACGAGCCCAGCTTTAAAACTTTCCTCTTCTTAATCCCGTCTTCATGGTTGAATGTTGCTGCACTAGGGTGAGGAAAGAGTTTCCAAATAAAATAGGCTAATTTAAAATAAAAAGTGTTTGATTGCTGGGAGTTAGGTTTGATGTGGAGTCACAGTGAATGGAGCAAAGCTACGTTTTATTTTTCTCCACTTTAAAAAGTGGCGCAGTGGCTCCCTTTCTTCCACTGACAAGAGGCCCTTGGTGTGCAGCGTATTCAAGCAGTCTAAAAGCAGTGAATCAGGTGCCGGCCATACACCTGTAATTGACATGCACCTGGCAGCACTTGAAGTTTAAAGTAAGAGTCCAACAGGAGAACATTCAACAGGATTTTGGTGCATGTTGGCGGCTGCATCCCACAGGTTTAGCTATGTTTATCATCCCAATGATGCACAAATCCAATAGTGAGGATGCCTCAACAGACTTTTCAACTAAATCAAATCAAATTCTATTCATGTAGCACTTTCCACAAACCTTAGCAGTAGCAGGAAGTGTTAAACATCACATCAATAACACAAGAAAATAGTAATCATAAAATGGCATCACAAATACATTTAAAACGCATTCTCAGATAAAATGATAGAAGAGTATGAACAAAGGCATCAGGTCAGAATCATGATTCATGTTGAAGGGCTAAAATAAAAGCCCATAGCCGAGGCTTACCAGTGTGGTGGGGGAACCCCACAGGCCAGTGGCAACTCCACCCACCACCAAAAAGACTGGAGATGCCACCACCGCGGTGAGACTTCCACATCCACTGGGAGCCTCGGCTGCAAAGAAAACACAAACAAATTAACAAAAAAAAAAAAAAAGGAAAAGAAAAAGAAAAGTCCAGTGTGACAGTTCCCTCCTCCCAGAGAACTCTGTGGTACTGGACACTCTGTCGGTGCTCCAACACCGTCCTGGCCTGCAGTGTGACCCCGTTGGCCTGATGGCCAGTAAGAATGTTCGCCAGTGGCTCCATACCCCTTGCTCCAGGCCAGCTTCTCCTCTGTTGTGCCCTCCTTTCCACACTTCCCCATGCAGTCCACCTTTGCTCGCTCCAGGCCAGAAGAGCGAGTGACAGAGCAAAATCATGCACTACTGGAGGGTGGATGGAGATGAACCAAGCTCCTCCACCCTCTTTAGTCCGTGCAGAGAAGGGACCAACTCGTCCATGGCTTGTGCCTGAGGGAGTGGCAGGAATCAGAAACTATGACACCTGTAATGGTGAGCTTTTTTAAAGGAAGCCACCAGGGCCCTAATTGGTTGGCTCCCTAATCAAGGAAAGGTGGGAGCTGGTGGAGCAGTTCACTCCACTCTGCCACATATAGAACAAGGACACTAATAGCGACATCTAGAGTTTAGACGTGATAGTGCATCAACAGAACACATTTTCGAGCCAGGGTGTTGGTTTGCTGCTGATACGTAAAGTGACCAGCCAACACCATGTCCAGTGACAAATCGTACAGAGTAAGGACTAATTTCTACCAGGGGCGGCGTTAGGCCCGGCTACTTGGGCTGAAGCCCCGGATGTTTCATGAAAAGCCCCGGATCTAAATCGCGGAAGTAGCATGCAGTACCAAAGTCCAACAGAGAGGGAGCAGCTGGCAGTAGTTTGTTTACAGCCTGCCTGAGCCTCCACCAATGAAGAAGAAGCCCTTCAGCAGCCGGCTTCTTCTACACTCTGCCTGAAACGCATGGGTGAAGATGGACATAAGGACGTTTTTTAGACAAAAAGTACCGCGACAGAACCCAGCTTTGATGAGACTGGTGTTGACTCAGGTTTGTGAGTCTTATTTGAAAATATTTGTTGTGCTGCTGGTTTGCCTAAAGTTAGCTTATCAGGTAAAGTTGTTGGAGAAAGAACAGGAATATTTACTATCATCTCACACTAAACACTAACAGGAACAATACTCTGCCCTGAAAATGCTTAATATGTAGCTTCAGATTAAATATTATGTGGTACAAGACATATATATATATATATATATATATATATATATATATATATATAATGTTGACTAGTGCATGTCACGTGTGTGTGTGTGCGCGCGCGTGTGAGTGCGTGCGCGCACGTGTGTGTGTGTGTGTGTGTTAAGCCCCGGATCTTCTTCAGTCCTAAATCCGCCCTGATTTCTAATAATAAGTTTATTTTACAACAGTATATACTGTTAGAACATCTTCTGGGCTCAGAATTTGCTGCTTGACTTAACGAGTCCGTCATTTTACACAGTCCTACCCTTGCCTTGCCAAGCGGATTTTCTACTGCAACAGTGCCCCCATTGGCTGGTAGACATAAAGATAAACCCAGTGTCGTGCCTGTCAGAAATTTAGATTTTTTTTTAATATAGGTTTTATAGGAGAAACTGTACATTCATTCTGCACACCTCTAAATGCCCGTGGAGGTATTTTTATTCAAATGTTCCATATTCCACCTTTAAGTTTTAGAATGTGGGACAACCAACAGCTCTTGTTCAGCAGAGCAAAGACATCAAAATGGGACATGCTTGTGCAGCAATGCAACTACGTATGTGGGGCATTGCCCTGCAGAGCCCTAAACACATGCAGGAGTATCTTAAATGTAGCCTGGTAATACAGTGGAAGCCAGTGCAATGATGCTAACACAGGAGTGACATTATCCCACCTCCTTGTAATAGGAACCAAATTCTGCACAAATGAATGCGAGGCTTTCAGCCAAGAAGCATTGTTTAAACAAGTAAATAATCAAAAATCTCCTTGTGTTGTACATTTATTAAAAGTAAGAAACAGAAGCTATAATTTTATTTTTAAAGATATGGAACCTCTGCTTATAATCGGACACTGAGTTTTTCATGCAGGCTGAACATGAAAGTAGTCCCCTACACCTATCTCCTGCATTAGCTTCTGATAGAACATAGGTGGTGAAATGCTAGGATTTGAAAAGCTTGACAGATCTACGTCACACTGTCACTTAACAATGGACTCATCCATCTTGGTTTGCGAAGAAGAATGCTGTTGCTGGTTTAACGTCCGGTGTTGACATCCTGTCATCTGAAGCTCATCTGTGATAGTTCCTGAAGCAGGTTCACCAGTGGTTTTTTTCTCCAGAATACGACTTACAAGGCATTCATTCTTACTAAAGACCAGCCAAAGTTATTACTTGGTCCTTGAATTAATATTCTAATATATTTATATTCTGAGCACAAGCTAAATAAAAAAAACGGTTAGAAAATGCTTAGAAAATGTAATATTTGTAGAGTTAGTAATTACTTTGCACCAACACATATTGGCCATGAGATTTATTACAACATCACACTCACTCTGTGCCTCGTCATTAATTCCTTGAAATACACTAGTTGCACATAAAATCACTAATCAGCATTTAGTTAGTGAAATGCAGTCCCTAAAGTTAATCTGTAAGTAAAACTTCAATGAATGAGTTAGAAGGAAAGTCAGTAGTAAAGATTTAGGATTCTACTTTGAGAATGCCCCAAAAGACTTTTACATTAAGGTCTTCATTCTGTCCACAACTCCAACTAACTCTTGACAAGCAGATCTTGTGATTATAAAAAACATGCTGCTCTGGATGTCTCTCCTATAATGAGAAAAATCACAGCGGTGAACACACACACACACACACACAAATTGACTATGTTTGTTGTTGACTCTGACCCTGTCCATCTGTCTCCCTGTGACCGTGGGTCTTTCTTCAACATTGTGATGCTCTCTCAGTCTGTGAGTAGAGAGAGAGAGAGAGAGAGAGAGAGAGAGAGAGAGAGAGAGAGAGAGAGAGAGAGAGAGAGAGAGAGAGAGAGAGAGAGAGAGAGAGAGAGAGAGAGAGTGTGTGTGTGTGTGTGTGTGTGTGTGTGTGTGTGTGTGTGTGTGTGTGTGTGTGTGTGTGTGTGTGTGTCAGAGTCCAAATGTATCAGCTGGTTCTGATGTTATAGAGAACATTTGTGCATTTTGCAGAGCTTCGGTCAAGTGACTCAGCACACTGTCTGCATGCCGTTTGTCTATGTTGATGTTCCAGTTTGTGGTTTTAGTTTTTGGTTCCTCCACCTCCATCGATGTCTTGGTGTGTCAGTGTTAGATAACAAATGAATGAACTGTTAACGGCAGAATCATGCCTTGATGTCTTTTTTCTCCTCCCTCATAGGCGAGCCTATCATTCTCTTGTTTCTCTGGTTACACTGTGAATCACTCCTACTGTTCTTATTTCATGCTCTTTTTCTGCATCAGCTCCTCTTTAGAGGTTTATTACTAGATGCTGTGTAGATTTTGTTTTCATTTCTCTTTATCTTCCTGGGACCCTGCATCCCCCATAGATGACGCTGGCTTCTCGCATTGTAGTGTTATACTTTGTTTGACTTAGATCTGTTTTTATTATTTTTGAAATCTGGTCTCTAAAATTAGAACAACTCCATTCATTCATCCATCCATCCAGCTATCCTTCATCCATCCATCCATCCATCCATCCATCATCCATCCTTCATCCAACCATTCATTCATCTATCCATCCATCCATTCTTCATCTGTCCATCCATCAATCCTTCATCCAACCATTCATTCATCTATCTATCCATCTATCCATCCATCCGTCCAACAATCCTTCATCCAACCATTCATTCATCTATCCATCCATCCATCCATCCGTCCATCAATCCTTCATCCAACCATTCATTCATCTATCCATCCATCCATTCTTCATTCATCCATCAATCTGTTTGTCTGTCTGTCCATACATTCATCCATCCTTCATTCGTCCATCCATCCATCCATCCATCCATCCATCCATCCACCCATCCGTCCATCCATCCGTCCGTCCGTCCGTCCGTCCATCCATCCTCAATTTGTCCATCCATTCATCAATTCATCCATCCATCCATCCATCCATCCTTAATTTGTCCATTCATCCATCCATCCATCCATAATTTGTCCATCCATCCATCCATCAATTCATCCATCCATCCAGACACCTTGAACAGGTCATGATTCCATCTAAGGGACTTGCACCCAGCCATTCACTCACAGCTGAGGACGGTTTAAAGACTGCAATCAAACTAACATGCATGGTTTTGGTCTGTGGGAGGAAACCGTAGCACCTGGAGAAATCCCACACATGCATGAGGGGAGCATGCTAACTACTTATTAAAATATCTAAAACAACACTTGTTTTATGTCTACAAGATCCTACTAAACTGAAACAGCTAGAGGAATAAAAAACTGTTCAGGTCAGGTTATTGAACAATACAAATGATGAAAACATTTTCAAAACACTTAACCTTCCTCATGTTTTATTAAACATTGTACATTATGAGCGGAAGTCATGGATATGATGAATTAATACAAGCTAACCCAACAAATGCAGATGTGCCAAACTGTTTTCACACACACGGAGTCAAACATATTCTTTTTTGTGCATTCCAATGATTACGGGCTCAAGCACACATGAGGGAACACCAGACACATTTTTTGACACACCTCAATTTAAATATGCAAATGTACAGTAGCTCAGATCATTGTCTTTGCATGATAAAAAATTATGTCTATTTACACAGAGATGCAATGAAACATTACAGAATTTGAGTCGGAGACCATTCTAAAGGAGGTAGAGGCATGTAACATGATGTTTACTGTCATTAGCAAAAAGCCCTAACCTTCAATGCTGTTGAAACGCCCAGAGCTCCCTGACGCTCAGAATGGCTTCACGATGCCACAAAGCAGAGAGAATTAGACTCAACAAGCATTTATGTGTTATAAAACTCATTTTCTAATGTTTTATAGCATTTACACTAATGAATGTTGACATGCACCAAGGCAGTTGGCGCATGCGCTTAACATACAGTTAAGAAAGACCCTTACTGAGAATGGACGAGTGCTCTGAAACTCTAGTTTAACCAGGAAAACAAAAACTTCCTCAACTGCATCACTGACTAATAATGATGTCATTAATACATGGTGATGTTTGGAGGTGCAAAGAATTCATGCACATCAGGGGGAGTTCGTTTGGACCACTGACACACCACCACACCGTGACACTGTGGCTGCAGCTCTGACCACAGTTCTAACTGGATTGTTTGCACGGGCCAGAAAATCCACTTGGTCTCGACAGAAAATGCAGTCTTCACGCTGAATTGTTTGCTAAACTTTTGCATCTTTATCGCCCCTAGCTCCCACTTAGCCCCTCACACCTGTAACGTTAGGCTCACCCGTTAGTCACCCAGTAATCCAGTGTCGTTTTCCTTTGTTGATTCCCGGTGTTCAAGATATCATTGGTCTTTTGGTCTCAGCCTTTTAATTCAGCTTATTCCCTTTGTTGTTGAGTTTAGTTGTCAACCTCTTTCATCTTCATAAAAAAAAAAACGTCATGACACTGAAGCTTTAAGAAGTGCAATAACCCTGTAAAAAGCTGTCAAAGCTGAAAAGAATAAAGAAATAAGTAACTTTTTGACAAGTAAACTCAATTCCCTGATGTTAGCTGTGACTGAGGTCAAACACAACACGGTTAGAACTCCAGAACACTTCTTCTTCATTTCATTTTCAGAGCTTTTTTTTATTTCCAGCTCGTTGTAAGAGACATAATGAGACCCATGACTCCAAATCTTCACTCTCGACCACCTCTCTATCTGTCAAGACAGGAACTACTCTTGTAGCCTTTGAATAAAGCCTCGACTGCAAAGCATTGCTGCAACCTGAGGACTGAAAAGCACTCGCTGATAAAGACACTTGACTTAGAGGTTTACTCTGATGGATTACCTTTATATTTGGACCATATGCAGCTTGTAGAGATCCTCGATCTTTGTGAACTGGCCCACTTTATGAAAATACCACAGGCTGAGCGATGCACCCAGTGCTAGGGTAACAGATTAGCAGCTCAATGTTTTTTTGTGTTTCATGTGACAAGACCCTTTTAGAACCACAATTTTTGCTGTTTTTGCTCTTTTCTTTTCCTCCACAATCTACAGTCTTGACTTCTTGTACTCATTCTGCTTGCACTTCTCTCTCTCTCTCTCTCTCTCTCTCTCTCTCTCTCTCTCTCTCTCTCTCTCTCTCTCTCTCTCTCTCTGTTTTCTCCATCACTTTTTGCCTCCAGGCATCTCCAGATTCAACCAATTAGCTGAAATCTCAGTGCTCACCTGTGCCTCCCATTTTCTCTTCCAGGTGGAGACCTGCAGATGTCCAGCGGCACCCTGGAGGAGGGAGGCCTTGATGACTCTGTAGACTGGGAGGAGGAGAAAGAGATGGAGAGGCTGGCTTGTGAAGGAGATGACTTTATCCCTCCTAAAATCATGGTGAGGAGTCAGTATGATTTATTTGATCCAATCTGAGTAACTACTTTTGGAGTGCCGTGTCAATGAAAGTCACAAAAATAGGTGTGAAAATTTTGAATAAATGCTTGAAAACCAGTCTATGAGCTACAGTTAAGCCATTTTTCAGAGGAAACCCTCTAGAACACTAGATAAGTGTGTGCTATAATGTTGTGGATGTTCCCTGACTGTGTTGTTCCTGATTTAGTACTATGTCGCACATTTTAGAGTAAGAAAGACATTGTGGAGAGAGTAAACACATAAATCCATAAATGATAAAGTCTGTGTCATAAAAATTACTGAGTGAAGTTTTATTACTGAGCACAAAATCAGCTGATGGGTCTTTTATTAGGACTAACACAACAGGGGAAAATACAACATGAATAATCTGCAGTCGACAACAATTTTCTGTTTACTGAGAGCGGTTTCTCACATTTCTCGTCTTTGCATTCATATTCCAATACAAGATAACGGTTTCGTGCAGCTGTGGAGGTCAAGTGCAGGCTGAGTTTATGTAAATTCTTCCAAAGCTCGGTTCACAGTGATGGATTGTTTGTGCCTTCAGCTAAGAAGTGTTTCCTCTTAGCTGAAGGCACCAATCCATCATCACATGTTGCACAGACACCAGTTTTTTAACAATCCTCAAATGTGTCAGTCACTCAGAAGGAAAAGGATTTTGTATTTCTTCATAAAAATGAAAATAAAACACTCTTCAAACATTTATTTTATATAAAATACTAAGTCATCCATAAGCTAACCATGTTTCTTTTAATGATTGTGCTTTCCTTGTGTTTTTAACCGTTTCCATCCCTGTCCTGTTCTTCTGTCACCTCCAGCTGATCTCCTCCAAGGTTCCCAAGGCAGAATACGTTCCCAACATAATCCGAAGGGACGACCCGTCCATCATCCCCATCCTCTACGTGAGTCGAGCGCAGCCGTGCAGACAGATGAAGTTTACGATCGTTTATTTAAAAAATATTTTCCAATAAAGGCACTTTTCCCCCAAAGTGGTTGCTAACATGATTTATGTAAACGTCTCTTCTCTAGGACCATGAGCATGCAACCTTTGATGATATTTTAGGTAAGTTTTATTGGTGACTGCCTTTTTGTATTTGTTAGATAAACTTGTATGATCAGTGATTTTGTAGGACGTTTTCTTGTGTCCAACAAGTGTGTAACGTCCAAAAGGGTCAATTTTCACCTATATATTGATCAACATAATAACCTTTCATCTACAGAAATAAATCCACTTTCTATGCGGCCTTCTAAATCCAGAAGGTTCTGCTCAGCGTGTGTTGACATTCCATGAAGACAAAACATTCAAACAAACATTCTCTCCCAAGGTTCCTGCACTCTCTGTGAAAGCCAGACGTCAACATTCTTCACTCTGAATAAGTGAAGACTCCATGATTTTATAGTTATAAGTTAAATAATCATATGTGATGAATGAACAAGATGTTTTAATCAAATGTTTCAATCCCTGTGCTTAAATCAATGAATTTGAAATGAATATTGTTCTTACAATGATCCATGTATATCACAAATCAGTATGTGTTTGATTGAACAAGTTAATCATTGTTTACACTCATACACATTACAATAAGATACATATTAATGTTAAAAACAGTTTTGTATCTGAAGGAAGGCGCGGCTTTCTGAGGGATGTTAGTAAATACTAAGAAACGTGTCAAATTCTGATTGGCCAAACTTGGCCAGAAATCATAGCAAAGTAGTTAAATAAAACAAGAATTACTTCCCGAGTAATTCAGTTTCCAGCTGACCCCCGACTCGGCCAAATCGGGAAAGAAGCCTCTTTTGAAACAAACTCCTTTGACCTTAAGTCAAAACCTTTCTGCGACGCTGCAAGTGATTACAGACACAACAGCTCTTTTTAGAGCTACTTCAACTCAGACATCCACCTTGGACACCTAACCTGCAGACCCCGGGTTGCATCTCATGGTCAGGGAAGCTGAACTCAGAGGAAGCTACTAATCTCTGAGTATTGTGGTTTCGACGTCCGGTGACCTCACCACTCTGACCGCAACCCTCCAGACCGCCGGGAGCAACTCATACCAGGGTATCGTACGCCTGCATACTGGTGTCTGATTAGGTTTTTATCAAAAACTAACTCTCTAGTTTAAAACTAATAACTAATTCTTTTACACCCAGATTTCACAATTTCTCTCAGATACAAAGAACGGTTGCTACAACATCTAGCTTCCATTACATCACCTCACATCCACCACACCACATCTCATCAATCATATCTTGTCTTGTATCATTAATTTAGGAAAAATAATTAAATTTGTTTTATAAACTATATACCTGACTCTGTCTGGATTAATACGAAGTGTGTTTATGGTCCCTGAATAAGCTAAGAATACTAGAATCCTCTGATTAAACATTCAAAGATCAATCAGGTTGATATTTCATATTTGTATGGAATCATCACATCTTATTGGTCATCATTAAAAATGCATTTTACTACAAGTATATAAAGGATTATTAAAACATCATCATCATCAGACAAACATCTACGATTAAGGCAGTTCAAAATCTGGGTGTTGTGATTGATGAACACCTGACCTTTAAAGATCATGTTGCCTCTGCTGCTCGTTCATGCCGCTTTGCGCTGTATAACATACGAAAGATCAGACCATACCTAACACAACATGCCACCCAGCTCCTGGTGCAATCTACTGTCATCTCCCGCCTCGATTACTGCAATGCCCTTCTAACTGGTCTTCCAGGCTGTACTGTGAGACCTCTTCAAATGGTTCAGAACGCAGCGGCGCGTCTGGTCTTCAATCAGCCAAAAAGAGCACACACGTCACCCCTCTGTTCATTGAGCTCCACTGGCTACCGCTAGCAGCACGCATCAAATTCTAATTGCTGATACTAGCATACAAAGTCTGAGATGGTACAGCTCCCATCTACCTGAATCCTCTTGCAAATTACGTCTCGGCCCGGCCGCTCCGGTCATCACAGGATCGTCGGCTAGCAGTGCCTACACCACGCTCAGGACAATCCAGCCTCTTCTCATGCATCGTTCCACAAATGTGGAATGACCTACCAAGCACTACCAGAACAGCGGCTTCCTTTCCAATTTTCAAGAAACTCCTGAAGACCCTTCTCTTCAGAGAGCATCTTCTTAACTAGCACCCTCCCTGCACCCATCCCCCTCTCTACCGTCCACTCCTTGTTCCCTCCTCTCCATGACTGATGTCAATTTGTTGTTGTTATTGTTGTTGTTAGCCTCAAGGGCAACATGCCGATTATCACTTGTAAGTCGCTTTGGACAAAAGCGTCTGCTAAATACATAAACATAAACATAATTAACTTTGGTTTCAACCCAATTCAAGAGCTGATTGGCATTGCCAAACATAAAAATGATGAGAAGGTGTTGCATTGTCACTCTGCAGAAAGGCAGATTCTGCTTTGAATCTATAAGAGTGTGTTTGTACACGTCTTTTTTGTCTCCTGCATCTTTGAGTGGGTTCTACGTGCTAATCGGTACTTATCCAAACTGTTCCCTGCTTCCTAACATCCCTGATGGTCGTTAGCACCCCCGTGACCCCAAACAGGATAAAGTAATTTCACAAATTTGAAAATTACCAGAAATAAATGAGTGGAATGAGATCGTGTCTGTAAAGGAGATTAAAAGATTAGATGAGTTCTTCATCTGTACAGGAGACAAGCCACCTTTAGTCTTTCGTCTGAGCAGCAGTTTGCCTGAGGTGTTAAACTCTCGGAGTCAAACTCACTGTGGAAATTAATGGTCAGGAAATTGGTTCTAAGATAAATCACTCATGCACACGAATCTTCAGATGATCGCATAGCTTCTACTCATAAATGCAGGTTCAGATTTAGTTAAATCCTCTAAATAATGAGTTTTTAATTTACAGTCTGTATTCTTGAAGATAGTAGAAGTGTTCATGCCTGTTGTTCTGAGAGAAAGCTATGGTGTAGTTGAGAGGATCCTTTTGAATATTTATTTGCACGTGCAAATATAACCATTCTGTTTGACTTCGATTGATCTGATTTATTTTATTTCAACATTTACTGAGTGCACAGTGTCGAGTAAAATTTGGATTTACGTATATCTTCGGTTGGTGTTTCTAACTTACTTTCCAGTTATTCTTTTTTTTTAGTGCTCGTCTCCTTCCCTCCATGCAATTTCCTCATTTTTATCCAGTTTCACCTCGCAAGGTCTTTGTCGTTTACGTCAATCTCTCTCTTTCTTCTTTTTTGACACAGAGGAAATAGAAAAGAAGCTAACGGCATACAGGAGAGGAAGCAAGTTTTGGAGGATGCTTATCTTTTGTCAGGTGAGATAAACAAGGAGACAAAAACAACATAAACCCCACATTTTCTACACATGATGCCTTGCATCTCACTGCACTGCTGTACACTCGCTGCTATGTTTCATAGGGAGGCCCTGGTCATCTGTATTTACTGAAGAATAAAGTGGCAACCTTTGCAAAAGTGGAAAAGGAAGAAGACATGAGCCAGTAAGCTGCTGCTTTATTTTGCATGATGGCAAATGCGAAAAGTCATTTTTTTTCAACCCGTAGCTCTAAGATCACATACTGACTTTTATGACCCAAAACAACAGAAAAATGAATTTAATTCATTTTCATGACCACTGCATAAATGCCTTTTCTTGATTTTTGTCAAATTAATTGCAAATAATATCTGGAGTAGCAAAATATTATAAGGGAAAGGAGTTGAAAAGATACATTTGTTTTTTATGTGAAAATAAAGTAAATATTTACACACAGTTAATTGTATAAAATATGGCATATATTCCTGATAGCAACTAGAAGAACAAATAAAGGTGTTTCTTTGACAAAAATATAATAACATTTGAAATAAATTACACCTTTTATTCCAAAAGAAATTCGGTAAGCCACATTTAAATATTACTAAAATTGGAAAAAAAAATATTTTATATTTGGCAACAATTCATAATCTAAATCAACCAAATGCTTACATTTTTCAAAATGGGATGTTTTTTCACAATGATAGAAAAGACTTCCAGGCTTCCATAGTTTATTGGTCACCCAAGAGGGTGTGGGTTTTTTGTTTCAAAATAAATGTAAAAATCAAAGTGTCCCATAATTTCATAACATTTTTTAAAATTACATTTAAAAATTGTTTTTCAAGTTTTAAGTTCATTTTGTGGGTCTGGATATAATATATTGCAGTAGAAACAGAAATGGCTGTTATGGTTATAAAAGCTGTAGACTCTTGAGTTAAAGGATCACAGAAACTTTATAAATAAATCAGGAAGACACAAACCACCTTTCTGGGAAGCAAAAATGCTCACTGAGACTTTACAACATTATTTTACCATGAATGAAAAGTGAAACAGCACTAATGCATGAAAATCAGATTTAATTTACTTTTTTTTCTTCTGCTAAATGTCACAAACTTTATGTATGATAGTCACGGACGCAGTCCAAGACAGACAGGTGACCTTTCATTCTTGAGCAAAAGTGAACATGAGCCCAAACCAGCTTTTAAAAAGAGTGGACAAAAAGACAAGAATAAAAAAAAAAAAACAAAGGAAATCAGGAAGGATTTAACCTAACGAAGGACGAGTTGCAGATTGCAGTGAGTTAGGACCAGGTGAGTGGAGAAAACAGAAAGTAAATGAAAACATTACATTACTACAAAATATGGAACAAGAGCATGACACCAAACCAGTAGGATCATAACCAAACCAGAAACAAGAACGTGAAAACACAAAAAGCATATGAGAAGAGAAAAAATGTTTAAAAAATACAATCAAACTTGATAAAATACAACACAAAGATCTAGAGATCTCATCAACAGATTAATTTTCCCAAACTTTCCATAAACAATCCCAATGTGACATTCAGTTTTTTGCCTTTGTTCAGATTCTGGAGGAGATTGAGTCGATTCATGAGTAAAATCAACCCAGAACCAAACGTGATACACATAATGGGATGCTACGTTCTGGGGAACCCAAATGGAGAAAAGGTATAACACACAACAATGCACTCAAACACTTAAAAAAGAAGGCTTCACTTCAATCCCACAAATGATGTTTCTGCAACAAGGTCACAAAGCTGGAGGAAAACATTGATTTGTGTGAAAATAACAGATCTTTTTTGTCCAGGTGGGGTAAAAAGGTCAAAAATGTTTAATTTCTATTCATTTTAAAGAACAAGCCCTTCTGAAATTACAGATATGAGAACTTCTTTCTACATCAGTTTTACTCAACACCACATCCTGATGATAAACAAAGACATGGGTTTATATTTTTTTATTTAGCTTTAATCAGCTCAGAACTGTAGCGTCAAATGAGGACATAATTCAGCTCTGGAGGACTGGATTTATCGTTTCTTCATATTTTGCTTCCAAGGAGCCAGAAGTCTTTGAAATAATTCAAGGTGTTCAGGACCAACATTTGTTTCATGGTTTCTGGAGATTTTCTCTGGACCCTGGCTGCTCTGGCACTTTTATCACCTCAATAAAAAAAACGTATAGTTTAATTTAACACAAATGCATAATTCATCGATAGTTGAATCTCAGATAGAGGAGGAGCAATGTGGTTTTCGTCCTTGCCGTGGAACTGTGGACCAGCTCTATACCCTTGCAAGGGTGATGGAGGGGGCATGGGAGTTTGCCCAACCAATCCACATGTGCTTTGTGGATTTGGAGAAGGCTTATGAACGTGTCCCCAGGGGCACCCTGTGGGGTATGCTCCAGGAGTATGGGGTGGGTGGCTTTCTGTTAAGGGCCATTCAGTCCCTTTACCAGAGGAGCGTGAGTTTGGTCCGCATAGCCGGTAGTAAGTCGGACCTGTTCCCGGTGAGGGTTGGACTCCGCCAGGGCTGCCCTTTGTCACCGGTTCTGTTCATTACCTTTATGGACAGAATTTCTAGACGCAGCCGTGGTGTGGAGTGTGTCGAGTTTGGTGGCAGGAGAATCTCGTCTCTGCTTTTTGCGGATGATGTGGTCCTCCTAGCTTCATCCAGCTCTGACCTTCAGCTCTTGCTGGGTAGGTTCGCGGCCGAGTGTGAATTAGCTGGGATGAGGATCGGCACCTCCAAATCTGAGACCATGGCTCTCGACCGGAAAAGGGTGGCTTGCCAACTCCGGGTCGGAGGAGAGGTCCTACCTCAAGTGGAGGAGTTTAAGTATCTCGGGGTCTTGTTCACGAGTGAGGGTAGGAGGGATTGGGAGATCGACAGGCGGATTGATTCAGCATCTGCAATGATGTGGACGCTGAGCCGATCTGTCGTGGTGAAGAGGGAGCTGAGCCAGAAAGCCAGGCTCTCGATTTACCGGTCGATCTACGTCCCAATCCTCACCTATGGTCATGAGCTTTGGGTAATGACCGAAATAACGAGATTGCGGATACAAGCGGCCGAAATGAGTTTCCTCCGTGGGGTGGCCGGACTCAACCTTAGAGATAGGGTGAGGAGCTCGAACATTCGGGAGGGACTCGGAGTAGAACCGCTGCTCCTCCGGATCGAAAGGAGTCAGTTGAGGTGGTTTGGGCATCTGGTCAGGATGCCTCCTGGACGCCTCCCCGGGGAGGTGTTTCGGGCATGTCCTGCCGGCAGGAGGCCCTCGGGTCAACCCAGGACACGTTGGAGAGGTTACATCTCCAATCTAGTCCGGGAAAGCCTTGGGGTCCTGCCGGAGGAACTGGTGGAGGTGGCTGGGTAGAGGACGGTCTGGAGCTCTAGTTGGGATGCTGCCCCCGCAACCAGGACCCGGATGAGTGGAGGAAGACGATGACGACGACAAATGCATAAGCACTCAATATATGCTGCTGTCTGAATTATAAAACAGACATTATTATTATCTGACATTTTAGGTTTGATTGACTGAAAAATCATTTTTTAATGATTATTTCTGATTATAATGGGACACTCTGAGGTTTTCATGCAGGCTGAACATGAAAATAGTCTCCTACACCTATCTTCTGTGTTCGCTTCTGGTAGAAAATAGACGGTGAAATGCTAGGATTTGAAAATGCTCACAGATCTATGGCACACTGTGAATTTGCATTTATGGCCTCGCCCATCTAGGCTCATGCCTGCCCACAGGCAGCAAGGAGACAAAGTGGAGAGTGTCTTGGTGATAGTGACTTTGTAATATGGCCGAACGCTTTCCATTAGCCAATCATAAGTGAGGTGTGTGCATATCATTAATAATAATGAATAATCCTGCTGTTTTCAGCCTACCTCTGGATGAGCAAACTTCTGCATCTCAGAACAGAAGTATATATTTTTAATGACTCAAAAGGCATTGATTTATACTAGAAAGCACTGCAAATGTGTTGAATAAACCACACCTTTAAACCCCATCTAATCAACATGTCCTATAGGATAACAATTGCACGTCGCTGATTGATTGATCGATTGATCGATTGATCGATTGATTGATTGATTGATTGATTGATTGATCGGCTGATTGATTGATTGATTGATCGACTGATTGATTGGTCGACTGAATGATTGATTGATTGATTGATTGATTGATTGATTGATTGACTGATTGATTGAATAAAAGCACACATCTGCCAAATAAATAAACATAAATTGTTGTGTGTGTTTGTTACAAGGATGTTTCCATTTTACTTTAAAAGAGGGCTGCAGAGCAACACTCTTGGACGTCTCTCAGACTGAATTTATCACTGAGGATCACCCCCAGTGGCAGGTTGCATTATAGGCTTTTCAACCCTGCTCTCTGTATAAACAAATGGATCATTTTTCTGACTAAAAAGTAAAAAATCACATCAAACTTGCCTTGGTGATGTGTATTTAAATGTCATGTTTTTCCTTTTACAATTAGATGACAATTACAAATAGTAATTTCGAACAGGTGGGATCTTCAGCCTCCCATCCCAGCACAGAATGGTTCACATAAAAAAATTCAAACTGCACTGACTGATTCCTAAATCCTCTTCTATTTTACTTTGAAACTTCCTCTCTTTTTTCTCATATTCTTCATCTTTATTCTGTCCGCGTCTGGTTTCTAAACCCTGTCTGTCTAATGATCAGCATGCTGTTTCCTCCTCCACCTGTCTGTGTGTCATTTATCTCATGTTTCTGCGTTAAGCTGAGTACCACAGATGCCAAATGATGCTGCAGCTCTCTAAACTTGATGTGAATAAATATTAAGACACAGAGCGACACATTTCAGGGCACAGAAAGAAAACAAAACAATCAAACGCATGGACAGACGAGCTGGTGCTCACACAGACAGACCATCGCCTGCAGTGTTTGACTGACCTGACTGTCTGTTCCTGTCATGTCTGCCAAACAGTGCTTTGTTATATAAAGTGGATCTCTCTGGGACTGATGGACAGTCTGCAGAACAGATAGCTCATCTGTCGTTTCTCCACCTCAACAAACACGGCAGCCTCTATTTCAAACGTGTGAAGCCAGGATAATAAAACAGATATTTTTCAGTGTTTTTTAGGGACGTGGGTAATTATTTTACATATTAAAAGTATTTTTACCTGAGGGAGTTGTGTTTTGTAGGTTTCCAGACACAACATAAAAATATTTTGCTTTTAATTTGTTTAGCAATTAAAACAATATTTTCATTGCAAATGTCCTTTACAGTCAGTAGGATGTAGAATGTTTAACCTTAAACTACCCCAAAAAAACTCACTTCTACTAATTAAAATGGTTTTGTTATAAAAAGAATGACTTTTTTATGTATTATGCAGCAAAAAAGCCCTTGGTGTAAGTGTTTATGTTGTCCTGCAGTGAGACAATATCATATGATGCTAGTCGAACACATTAAAAACTCCCAAAAGTAGGTAAAACGGACCTATTTTACTTCTTAGATGGCAACAGGAACATATCATACTATGTTTGGCTTTTACTGGCAAAAATTTGCATCTTCTGATGTGATCTAGCTGCTTGAAGAAAAAAAAAAGTACCCCCATTTCTCTTGGATTAATGATTAGCCTCTGGCTTACTTTGCACTACAGACAAGCTGCTTCGCCTCCACATCTTTAAACAATCCCTCCTCCTTATCTAACCATCTTCTTTTATCTTCTTCAAAAGGCAGCAAACACGGCACAACGAGCACAAAGGAGCACCTTTCCTTCACCACCTTCAATTTAACATCAGAACAAGAAAAATGTTTGCTTCTTCTGACTCCAGAGGCTGCACAGGACCAAAACCTGTCGCTCACTGATTAGTAGTGATAATATTTATAGCTCTGTCATGGGAGCCGTTCATTAGTCGGTCGTTTACCTCAAAGAGCCATTCAAAAGACTGCTTCCTGAAGGCAAGAGAACGGGGGGGGGGGGGGGGGGGGGGGGGTAGCGTTCCCATAGATATGTATAGATGTGTATATAAACACGTGTTTATATACATATCTATGGTTCCTCCTACGTCCGTCACAGCAGTGGGTGAGTTTGACCGACTTCCGGGGAGGTTTGTTAAGATGAACGGCTCTTTACAGGGACTCGGCTCTCATCATTCACTTTGAAAACCCGTTCAAAAGATTTGATTCGTTCATGAACGTCACATCACTACTGATTAGGACATTTCATTTGTGCAACATCACATTCATTTATCTCTTTTCTGATGATCGGTTAACGTCCCATTAGTCACAATCACACACTGGTTACACTACATCTCCGCATTTGACCCATCTCTGTGGGGAGAGGTGAGCTGCAGCAGTGGCTGCACTCAGGATCTGTTTGGTGGTTTAACCCCCAGTCCAAATCCTCAAAGCTGAATGTCAAGCAGGGAGGCATTGAGTCCAATTTAAAGTCTTTGGTATGAACCGACCGGTTTTGAACCCTGATCTCCCAGCCCCAGGGCGGACTACCGCTACACCACTGAGAAGGTAAAGGTGAATCAAAAAACAAGGTGGCTGAGATTTTGACTGATAAGATTCTGCAACTTTGATTCATGAACACAAGAGAGGTCACGTGGAAGCCGATGGGACAGGAGCAGTGTTCATTTATCTCCCAGACAGTAACAAGCCAAAGAGTATGTGCGTTGTATCTGACCACAGGCTCTCCTGTTGTAAGTGGAAGCGAAGCGGGATTAATTGCCATTTGCTTTCTTATCTCTCGCCAACAGCTGTTCCAGAAACTGAAGAATCTGATGAGGCCTTATTCTGTTGAGTTTGAATCACCGCTGGAGCTGTCTGCACAGGGTGAGCATCCCAACAAACCAGGGTCTCACACATAAACATGATGATTTATACACACACACTTTACATCCAATACTTGTGCCAACTCATTCAATCTGTTCTCACAGCTACAAGAGAAATTATCAAAAAAAAAACTTAGCTGTTGTATTTTATTGTTGTCTACTTGAATTATATATTTTGGCTTCCGTTTGGCCTAACACTTCTCTGTTAGGGTTTAAATATGTTGTTTTAAATACATTTGTGAATGGCACAGACCTTTTCATGCAACAGGTTGCACAGACGACTCTGAAACATGTTTTGGATCTTTTAGAGTGAGATAAAGAATGATGAATATCTTACTTCAAGTAGATCGCCATTTCAACAACCTCAGTTTGGAGAAACAACAATTCATTTGGATCAAGCAGACAATGAATTCGTAATGGTTTCATTCTGGAAGAACGATCATAAAACTTCACGCAGCTTAGCTAGCTCATAGTGTGGTGATTTTGGTGGTGTAAAATTGGTAAAAAAAAATGTTTACATGAATTTCTATGAAAATAGGACCAAATAGCATGCGACACGTGGACAGATTTCCTGCAGCAGAATGACACTGATATTACAAGTTGGTCACTTTTCATCACCTCACAACCATATTTAGATCAAAGCAACTTGCGTTTTCCCCCCAAAATGTATTTAAAATGCATTTTTGCTGTAGAGCTAACAGTTAGCTCACTCCTGCTGCTCAGTGACATAGAGAGTGACATAATCCACCAGAAAACATTTTACATGTCTGAGCTAACTTGCTGCAAAATAAAGAAACATACTTTTGCACATTCGTGTACAGATATGTAGAGCTGCCACCTGCGTAAAATAACATTTGTGATCGCTGCAAACGGTCAAGGTTGCATGGACGTGCAGATCATGTCTATATCGAGTCTGTCTGTCCAGACCACATCTATAGAACGTCCAAAATAGGTCTTTGCGCGATGTGAAATTGTTATTGTTTTAAAGAGATACTTTCAACAATTTTTAATCTTTTTCTTGAACCAATGTGTGCTCAAATGACCCTTTACATGGTTAATGAAATGCCACCCAGCCCCTGTCACCCTCCGTGGCCAGAATATTCCACTTGCAACTTCAGAGCTGGTGGGTCGCTCTGTTGAGAAAACATTAAACTGGTGCTGCAGTCTGCTTCTAACATGTTTCCTGCATGTTTTAGATCATGAACACAGCTAATTTGTTTCATTTAGGGATGAATCACTCCTGTAGACACAAATGAAGGCTGAGAAGACATTTCAGCTGTTAGATTAAGGGATTAAAAAGACAAATTGCTCTGCAACCAGATGTAGGTTTGGCTTTCTGTTCTACAAACGAACTCTAGGGGGTGCTAAAAGCAAGCCAAAACTGCCTAGTTCCACTTTAACATATCATTTCCACATTTGGACAATGCAAAACCAGGTTCTAGCAAATACACATGTATGATATTTGTACTACATTATTGTTAAAACATGATAAATATATGTATAGTAAAAATGTAAAAAATGTTTTGCTAGAAGAAATAATCACTGTATAACTTGACATCGCTCAATTTTATTTTTTGTGTGTGGCAGCTCTACATTGCTGTGTTAATTTGATTAACATAGTTTTACCATTTAGCAAGCAAGTCTTATGACAACAAGAACACCAGAAATGTATTATTACTTTATTAGCCTGGAGCCTTAGAGCTACAATGGAAATTTAGCCAAATAAATGAGCTTACATTTTTTTCATGCCTCTTAACAACGTTATGTCTGAAACAAATTTCTCCCAAGGGAGACAAATAAAGAGCTTTTGACTTTGACTGTAACAGGTCATTACGCACTCACCTATTTAGCAACAGAACACCAATGGTGTGAGAGGTTCTCTGCTCAATAATATCAGAGGAGAAACCTACTTCAACTTTAGGACAAACTACGCAAAAAGAAAAACAGCATCTGAAGTCATGGACAACAAAAGATGTTTGGATGTAGAAAACGGCTACTGGTGTTTAGCGCTGTCTCGTTTCCTCTGAAAGTGTGGGTTTCTGGTTCCGGCAGAAGTGTCTCAGGGAAGACACTCAAGGGGAGGGGGTGAGTGTTTGGTGACCGTGTTTGCATTCAAAACGTAGCTTGTTTTGTAGATTCTTTACAACACCTTTATTGATTTATCAGAAAACCTCCTCTATTTTTATTTTTTAATGCTTTATTTATCTCATTCGCTTATTTTCCTAATTTGGTAAATATAGGAAGAACTGCTGTTGCTCTGCGTATTTCTCATCAATAAAGTGTAACATTTATTTAATGACAACCTATTTTTCAAACTTTTGAAAAGTAGCCACATTTGATAATAAGCTATTACAATTTTGTTGCTCTATATAAATAATATTTTGTAGGAAAGATGCTAAGAACAGCTTTAATGGTACCTTCGACCTAATCTGTGTTTCTCCAAAGTGAGGCTGTCCAAATTGGATTTTCAACTGTTTACTTATTTTTAACAGAAACGTATTTCAAAGTTTCCAACAAAAACAAAATGAACATTTATAGCATTTAGATATTGAAATTGTATACTATATGAATCATTTCCATTTCATTTATCAAATTAAGGCAAAGAGATGATTGAGATGTTCTTCGATTTCCGTCTCTATCGCCTTTGGAAGACACGGCAACACTCCAAACTCTTGGACTATGAGGATTTTTTGTGACGAAGACGTCTGGAGGATGAGCGTGATGGAGCGCCACATTGCTGTGAGGATGCTGTAAAAAAACACTCTAGCCCTCGGGTCGTCAACCCCGCATAAACAGTCAGACCTGCTTGGGCTAAGAAATGAAGAAAAGCAGTAGCAAAACAAAAACACAACTAAGAACTCTGAACTTCCTTGTTTTTGAAGGATAACAGAATGTAAAGAATACTGGATCAAAAAAATGAGGAAAAACCCAAACAGAGCTGGAATTTCCATATCATACAATCTTTGAGTTCAAAACAAAAACTAAGAGTTTAAAGGTATATATATATATTTAAAGTTTTAGTTACATTGACATTTTCTGGAGCTGATGGGCTTCTGATAAACTGCTGTAAACTCATTCTGTCTCAGTGTGGTTCTGTGTTTTGACCCGACCTCTCAGAAAGTCTCAGTTACCTGAGACAAACATATAGATAAATAACCCATATGTTAATGTGTGTGTAGTTCTCATGAATGTATTAGCTTTAGTCATGCTAATGATAGTCTGTAATGGATTCATGGGTTTTATTTTTGATGTGCATTGTTGTGCAGTTTCATATGGGAATACTTTGAGATAACTCAGGTTTTAGCCATTAAGTCTGTTTGTCTGTTCTATGATATTATTCTAATACTCAATGCCATTGCTTTGAATGAATGTACTATCTCTGTGGAGACTGGTGTGGGAGGAACTGTATGTTTTCGGGGGTGGGGGGTGGTGGTGTGGGCGTGGTGGTGTGTGTGTGTGGGGGGGGGGGGTGATAAGTGTTGATTGTGTGTTTAAAAAAAAGTTAAAAGAATCGTGCAATTGTGTGCATTTTCTCTTACAGCTCCCTTAAGCAAAAAGATGAATCGCCAGCATCCCCCACGTGTATCTCTTTGTCATGTACATCCAAACAGCATGACAGTCTTGTATGATTTATGATGTCAATGGATATAACAGCCATCCAAGGGCTTCGGAGGAGTTGCCCTAATGATCCCTCCTGTTCTTCTGCAGAGGGTTCATGCCACTTAGTCGGGCGCTACCAATAGTCATGGCAGCTCTGTCTGCCACACAGTCTTGCTTTTTTTTCTTAATGGCAGCCAAACAAGCTTCTGCCACCTCTCACTTCAGCGGGCTGCCATCCTGTGTGAGGACTGGAGCTCTCTGACTCAAAGGAGTAGTGAGCAGCTATCTGCCTCCCCTGCCAGGTGGCAGCTTGTTAAAAAAGGGCCAGAAAGATGCACCAGGTGCACTAGTCATGCAATCTGAGCAGTTTCAAACTAATTTGGGATAGTGTTGCCTTCAAATTCACGCACGGGCTGGGACCAAGATACGCTCAGACACTTGTTCAGGCTTCTTGTGTGGTTAGGTGGAGTAATAATCAGTAGTCAGTGTCTTTCCTGCAGTAGGCAACAGTTTTTGGGACCATCCTTTGACCCTGAGTGTTTCCACCACAGGGACCAGGACCAAAAGAGATTAGCTTTACCCCAGAAAGTAACCCCGGCTTTCCACAGGAACCGTCAGCAGCACGTTACTGCAGCAGCACGTCATAGCTGCTGATAGGAACCGCTGTGGTCAACAGAACCTTTTCCACCGGAGCCGTCGGCAGCCGTCAGCAGCGCGAGTCGGCCGCGTCTCAGGAGCAGCAAGTCGCGGCCTTTACGCGCCGGTTCTATTTTCTGCGCGCGACGCCTCTGAAACGGGTCAAGTTCGACATTTTTGGGGAAGGAAAGACAGGAAATTGGACGCGGAAACGGAGCGAAGCTACCGAGATTTTCAGAATAAAGAACGTACTGCCTTCCGGTTGCTTTACTTTTAAAAAACGTTACTAACTGTGCGTCCCCGTGAGAAGTTATCACCTAGCTAGCGGTCTCCTTTGTTTTTCAGGTCCGTATTGGCGATTATAAAACGGACAGAACATAAAACACAAACCTTGTTGTAGTTTTCTCCTGCTTGTTGTTGTGTTTACTGACGAAGTCACTCGTGTGACTTTGTGCTCTGTCGGAGACAGCTGCTCCCCTGCTGCTTCGCGTCTCGTGGGAAGGGCCAAGCAGCAGCTTACGGGAGCAAGACGTGCTGCTGCAGTAATGTGCTGCTGACGGCTCCCGTGGAAACCCGGGGTAAGATCCCTCTGAAAACTGCTGCTGAATGTCAGAGGTATATTCTACTCCTAAGTGAAATTTGATCTGTTTCCATATTCTCCAGAGTTGAGTAAGTGTGTGTGTGTGTGTGTGTGTGGGGGGGGGGGGGGGGGGGACACTTCTTAAACAGCCCAGTCATACTCTTAATCTGGCAATATTCTATTAGCTTTAGCTTAGCATAAACAATGTAAGTGAATGGTAACAGCTAGCAATATGTGTGAAAAGGTCATGAAAAATACTCAATAACAATCCTAACTTTTCTTGGTGATCTCAATTATCATATCAGCTGCAAATGAAAACAATAAGTAACACGAAGAAATAACAGGAACTGGTTTAGACATGGGACTACATCAGGACAGAACAGGCGCTGTAAGCCGCCGCTGCAAGGAGCAAACAAAGACATGACTCAGCAGCCCAAAAGACACCTAATTTCAAGAAGGCATCTTCTTTGTCTGTCATGTGCTCTGCTTGCATGTTCAGATCACATTTGTGTGGCTCCCAATCCGATTCCGAGCCATTTAATTTTGATTATCTGCCAATACTGAGTCCTGATTTGATACTTTTCAGGAAAGCATTAAAATAGTAAGAAAAAAGTGGCAAACTGGGCATTAATAGAGGCAGGTGATTCACTTTGTTGATGCCCGAAGGGAAAAGCCGAAGGTGAATGTAATCTGTTTTGAAACAGCAAATCATGGAGCAGTGTCCTTTCCGGCATGTTGAATAGCCAGATTACCACCAAGCTGCAGACATTTTAGCTCTCCTGAGAAGACACGTTAGCTCTGCGTTAGCCTGCTGGCTAACAGCTGCACTTTTATGTCTGAATCCCTGCCTGCCATAAATTGTGACATTAACGTCTTGTTTTTGTACAAGAAACAAGGAATATAGATGTAGAGGAACTTGTTGAAATTAAAACAGTTATTTTGTTAGAAAATTGATATCTCAGGATGAATTAAAAAATTGTGTTTGTTGTTTTAAGAGGTTAAATCAATTTCTTTTCCTCCCAAGCCTTTTAACCCTTTGATGCATAATGGTCCCTACAGTGGACAGGTACTCAAAATTGTTATTTATTTATTTTTGCTATTAAGCACAGCTGTTGAAGACTTTATTGCATTTGAGCCCCTCCATTTGGACTTCAGTAAGTCAAGCCAACATATTTCATGTTCAGAATGCACGCTGTCCACTGAGGTGAACATGTAATAAACTATGTGTAAATTAAATGTTACAAAAAATATGTAAATATGAAATTTATTTCATTCACACCTAAAGATGAATGAAAAGAATTGTTTAAAAAATCATGGTTGAAGATTTCATAATTCATGCATCAAAGGGTTAAAATCACGTGATCGGGCCCGATTTCCAATCACAAGATCTGATCGGAGTATCCCTAATTTTTAGTTCAACCCACTGCTGTTCCTAGCATAGTGCTAGCTGTTACCATTCAGTTACATTGTTTATGCTAAGCTAAAGCTAAACGGAATATTGCCGGGCTGGTTACAAATGTCACGTTGTGAGCCAGGAGGAGGTTAGGACCCAAGATGCAGAAACCCAGAACGACACAAGGCAGGAGCGTAGTAAAACGTAAAATCCTTTATTGGCAGTCAATGTCCAAAATTCCAAGAAGGGCTTAAATCCAAGAAGGGGCAGGAAGCCCATATCCGAACGTCCAAAAATCCAAAAGAGCAAAAACCAAGAGACCTAGAGAAAAAAACAAATACCTAGAGAGGGGGGAACGAGACACCGCTGACAAAAACACAATGAACCGACAACACATTGAGACGCAGACAGGGTTATATACACAAGGGCTGGGTGATTAGGGAATTGTGCACAGGTGAGATTAATAAACAGAGAGGAGGAGCACAACGGAGCAGGGGAGGAAACCAGACCTAAAAATGGGGAAGGGAGCAAAATGAACTAAAGGAAGATACTGAATAAGTAATCCAAACATAACAAAAACCTAATGATTAGTGGAGTGACTAACAAAAACGTGAGGGAAACCTAGAGAGAACCTGGAGGGGGTTGGGACCACAGGGACACCGAAACCTAAGGGGGAACCTAAGGAGAAAACCTGGGGTAGGCTGGGGAACACAAGGAGGCACATGAGGAACACAAGGAGATACATAAGGGGAACCTAGAGAGGGATGGAGAACACAAGGAGACACATGAGGGGGGACACAGACAAGGAGACACATGAGGAACACACGGAGACACATAAGGGGAACCTAGAGAGGGATTGAGAACACAAGGAGACACATGAGGGAGACGCCGAGCATGACAACAAAATGCTTTTACCCACTTATCTAACTCTGGGGACCATGGAAACAGACAAAATACTCCACAGAACTTCACTTCCTTAAACAGCAGAATGAATGATCCATTTAGGGGAAGTTTGAAGTCCACATCACAGACACCATTTAGCTTGTGTTCTTTTCTTCTCTGCTGGTGGAGGCATAGTTTACCATCATTTGTGGGATTTTGGAAAGATTTCTGAGGAAAAAGACACTGATCCTTACATTGCTTTAAACTTAAGAAAAAAACCACAAAGTCTTTGTGACGACTGGTTATGTAGACATACATGAGGATAGATAATGAGAAATGCAATGTTCTTTTCTACCAGAATATGAATCTTTTGTGCCTCTTGAGTACCATATCAGAGCAAACAGTTGTCATAAATGTGTTTAAAACATGTCTGACGAAGAGTTTCTAAAAGCCAGAGCGACACATTAATCACGCTGCCACTCCAGCCTCAGCCAATCAGAGCAACGTCACACCACATAGATCTTAAAAACATCAGCAATACAGCAAACTCTGACATCAAAGCAGGAGAACTGGATGCAGAAATGTTTTTATTTTGCATGAAGGGAAGACTTTGGGTAAAATGTTAAGTGGTCTTTAGTGTCAAGTGGTCCTTTGGCTAACACCCACATTTTGTCATTTTTCGTGTGGATAAATCAATGTTTGAACCTGTGTTGAATACTTTTATTATTTTTAAGTCTCATTGGACTGCTCTCTGTCCTGCAGAACTTTGTGTTCATTTCTTTTAAATGTTATTTTAGTGTGTTTGCTCTCCGACACTTGAGTCCAGGCCTACAGTTCTTTTTTT